CATATCAAAGTGACCCAGGGGTATTTTCCAAACTAAATGTCCCCACCTGGGCAGCAGATTTTGACGCACCAGGCTCTGTGGTGTGCCTGGCCGTGGGTGGCATTTTCACATAAAGATCTCACATTCCCCTGATGATTCTTGAAGCCTGGATACCCAGCCCAGCGTGTTGCCCCAGGCTAAGTAAAAACTCTGGCTTTATTCCTCAGTTTGGTCAGCCACTGTGCCTCGTAAATGTGACTGGGTGGGCCTGGGCAAGCGTCCTGCAGCAGTCACATAAATGATATTAAAGGCAAAGTTTGGGGAAGAACAAAACTCCCAGCTCAGCCAGGCTTTGAGGTTCACAGCCTGTAATCCCAGTTCACTGTGGCACATGCCTGTAATCTAAGCGGCTCGGGAGGCTGAGGCAGGAGGATCACAAGTTCAAAGCCAGCCTCAGCAAAAGCTAAGCAACTCAGTGAGATCCTATCTCTAAACAAAATACAAAATAGGGCTGGGGACATGGCTCAGTGGTCAAGTGCCTGAGTTCAATCCCCAGTACCACCTGCCCCTCCCCCCCAAAAAACCTCCCAGCTCTACTGTACAACTTAGGCAAACTCCTCAATTTCTCATGATCCCAAATCCTCACTCACAGAACAGGGTTCATCCTAACATCTATCCCAGAACAGCATCAGCGAGTACTGACACTTAGACCAAGTGCTGGTTCCCATACTCTGCACCTCAGCACTCCACTCAGCCTCAACCCAAATCCTAAGCTGTCACACTGTTCTGTTTTAAGGTTCCTCCCGGTGGAGGGCATCCAGGAAGCCTGCCTGTTGTGCCCCAGACTGGGCATGACTGCCCACTTTCTTTTCCCTGTGATCACCAACTGCTTTGGAATTTAACATGTCCTTCATTATCTATCATCCAGACGTCAGTCCAGTGAGAGAGGTGTCACGCGTGTCACTGGTGCCACCAATAGATATAATTAAAAACTCAAAAAATAACATGTTACGCAGTTGATTCTTCTCATGAGAAAAGGAGCATTTGTTTTTCAAAACGATTAATGAAAGTTTTTAAAATAGTAAGAGCCTGAATGCATTCATCGTTCACTGGGAGTAATAATAAGCACTTGCATCCAACCTGTGACACCCAGCGTCCTTCAACCCGGCAGGCTGGAACGGAAGTTTTCTAACCTGTAGAGGGAAACACGGTGGCAGTGTTTGTCCTTCTCTTCCCGTCCCACCTCCTGCCAGGGCTCCACCCACAGCCACCTCCCACCTGGTGACAGCCAGAGCCTCCTGACTGGTTCCCATGCGGGCCTTGGCCAGTCTGGTCTGTCCTGGCTCACCATCCAGACTGGCCCTTCCCCACAGGGGGCCCTTCCCCAAGGGGACCGTCACCACCCACCTTCTAGCCCTCCATACTCACCTCCCTCCCCCTCAGGCAGATGAAACCCAAACCCCCGAGGCCTGCCGGGGCAGTGCGGCCCAGTCCTTCCTGGACGACCCTGTGCCCTGAAACCACGCCTTCCTTTTTGCCAGAAGCTTCTGACTCCCCTTCAAGGTCAGGCCTCAGCCCAAGGCCGCTGCCTCCAGAGGCCAGAGGCGGCCGCTTGGCTGGCAGCCGTGCTGCGAGGAAGGCTCCACACTCGGTGTCCCCTCACAGCATTTGTCACAGCTCTGAGTCACATATTTATTAGTGCGGGGTTATTTGCTGTTGCCGTTGCTTTTTTATGTCTCTTTCTCCCTCACTATAGGCCCCATCTGAGCAGGAACAATCTCTATTTGTTCTCCTGGTTGGCAGAAAGCAGAACAATGCTGGACTCCTAGGAGGTGCTCTATAAATATTTGTGGAATGGTCCAACCTAAATGCCTCTCTTTGTGGCATGATGAAGTAGGAGGGTGTGTAGACTCTAAAATAAACACCATTAGCAGCAGATCCAGCTCCTCACACCAGGAGGGCCGCGGGGCCCAGGGCGCTGGCGCTGCTGGGAAACACCACACCACCGGCCGCCTCCAGGGACACGCCGGTCATCTGAGTCCTGGTTTTCTGATTTTCCACAGCCCGCCACGGATTCCTGATTTAGGATGTTGCCTAACGGCTCTTGATGTTTGCAAAGCTCTTCCTCCAACATGATCTGACTGAGACCAATGAGGGAGGTGTGCAGGCTCCACCACACCCATCTCGCAGACAGGGGCGGGACCAGTTCTCACAGCTCAGGCTGCAGGGCCTGCCTCCCCGCTGCTGGTGGAGGCCCCTTCCCACAAGAGAAAATAGTGTGGCATGTTAAGTATGACTTTGGGACAAAGTCCCACAGGGAACTGATCCTGTCATACCGGATTCTTACTGGATTCAACCAGAGCTACTTCTACAGTCATGTGATTGATTGACTGACTGGTTGATTAGTGATGGGGATTTAACCCAGGGCACTTTACCACTGAGTCATATCCTCAGTCCTTCCTTTTTTGGGGGGCGGGGGGGGGGGGCACGTTCTCACTAAGTTGCTTAGGGCCTCATTACTTTGCTGAAGCTGGCCTTGAACTTGCCATCCTCCTGCCCCAGCCTCCCAAGTTGCTGGGATTCTAGGCATGCACCACCATGGCCAGCTCACATGATTGTTTTTAGGTGTGTCATCAGAAGTACATGCAGGTCTACACAACTCTTGGAACAAAAGAGGAACCTCAGCTGGAGTGCCTCCTGTGCCCACATCATCCAGGCAAGTTGTTATCACTGAAAATCAGACAAACGCTGGACTGCTCTCTTCACCATGTCTGTAATGACTAAGGGAATGTCCTTCTCCCTGTCGAGTGAGCGAGAGCATCCTCAACAGAGGCTCTCTACTCCCGAGGGAAGTTCCTTCTGTGCACCCACAAACTCAACTGTCTCTCCTCCACTTCTCCAGGCAGAAGATTCAAAGAAAAACAAAAACGGGTTAGTTTGCCAGATGCGTGTGTCTGTCAAGCACCTTGTAAGCACACAAAGGGTTTGAGCTGCATTCAAGAACCATAGAGGCGGCCCCACTGAGTGGCCTCAGCCTGGGGCAGGGAGGTGGACGGATCCCCCGCCACGGAGACACCAGGGTCAGCCACCACACCAAGGTTCCCTGTCCACCAGGCTGAGCACGAGAAGGGCCTCCCGGGCTCACTGCAGTCCCCCGACCCCTCTCGGGTCCAGTCCCTCACCCTCGGCTCCATCTGTCACTGAGTTCCTCCTGGATGGCCAGCCAGGCCCCGGGTGGGTCCCCAGCTCTGCCCTCCTCATCAAGTCTTTCCAAACACAATGGTTCCCAAAGAAGCTGTGGCTGAGACAACCGGACACCACGGTGAACTCACACGGCCCGCACAGAACACTGTAAATTGTTGAAGGAAAAAGCACCTGTTGCACACTGTCCAATCTGCTGGCTCCTGCAGTCCTCACTGTCCCCACCTGAGCAGGCAACCCACCTTTCAATGACGTCATATGTCTGCAAGGCTGGGCTTTCCAAATTTGGGACTCATAGATACTATTTTACATACCTAAAACCAAGGAACACAGGAACTCAAACAGATGCCCGTACACCCATGTGCACAGAAGCGTGGTCCACAACAGCCCCGCACTGGGAACAGCCAGGTGGATACGCACATGCCCGGAATATTATGCAGCCCTGGAAAGGATGCGGCACCAACACACGCCAGGCAAGGCTGATGCTGGAAGCATCATCCTCAGAGAAAACTTCAAGCACAGGACAAATGCATCATCGCACTTCCACGCAGTACCTAGAGCAGACACATCCTTAGAGACAGAAAGCAGAACAGGGGTTGCCAGGGGCCGGGGACCAGGGACTGTCAAGTGTCATTTACAGAGGACAGAGTTCTCCTGGGGATGATAGCAACTGCTGGAGATGGACATGGTGATGTCTGCACGACCTGAGAACTGACCATAGAAACGACCACACCCCACTGAATGGCACACTTGAAAATGGTGTACATTCCATGCTTCGGTCCCCTTCCTCCTGTTCACCTGAGACACTCTCCTGTACCTCCCAGCACCCTCCCCACCTACCCTCGGTGCTTTGACTGACGCCCTCCCCATCGCTGGGTGGGAGCTCTCCTCCGTGCTCCCACAGCAACGGGTTCTCCCTGCAGAGTGTACTTGAATGTCCCATGAACTCACTGAAGTGCGCGCCCAGTACTCACGTAGCAGATGCTCAATGAACATCCGTCAAATCAAAAACGAGTGGCTGAGCAAACTGAACATTATCATTGCCATTATTCTGAATAGTTCTCTCCGGTGATGTTTACCATCTAGGTAGATCCCGTCATAAAGCTTTAGTTGTAGACAGAAACGGACCTTCCCTCCTATGGAAGGAAGCCCCTGAGAAGACCTCTGTAAGAAGGAACAGGCACCCACAGGTAGGCTACCTGAGTCAACAGTTAGGGACACACAGAATTAAGGCAGCCTTCCTCTTCCCAGAAAAGCCAGGCCCTAATAAGGGAGTAACAGAGTTAGCAGGGGACCCCGGCTGGTTATAGGAATCCACCCTCAGGTACTTGCCTGACCCTGGGGGTCACTCCTCCTGGGGCCTCGGTTTCCTCACCTGTCTCTTGAAGCTCTTCTGACCCCACCCCAGGTTCTGACGGATCCATCACCGATCATCTGTTCATGACACAGGAACTAATTTCTGAGGGCTGACCATGCCCCAGCCTCCCCCCAGACCTGATGACAGGCCATGTGGCAAATTCAAACATGAACTTGACAGATAAAGATAAGATACGTGCTGAAATGCCCACACTGCAAAACAGACCACGGTAAGTAGCGAGAGAGAAAAATAGGCAAGATGATGGAGGGCTGGTCACCAAGCCAGAGTCCTCCAAATAGGGGACCCACACAGAAGCACAGAATGGGACCTGGTGATCCTGAAAGGTAGGTGCTATGGGGAAGGCTGTGTTTGGGTTTCTACCTGGAGAGGGAAAGTTTTCCGCTGGCAGAGTGACCTCCGTGCCCTCAGCAGCTCCATCAGGAACCGGCTCTTGCCATCTTACCTTCTGCCAGGCTCACGTGGGCTCCTCGTGGCTCTCACAGGTGCAGAGTGCGACACAGCCAAGCTCAGAGGAAGACCAGAGGGTCATCAGTTCAGCCCATGATGGCTCCCTGTGGCTCTCTCTCAGAGGAAAATAAATCTCCCCGAAGACTGGCAGCCAACTCCCGGGAAGCCACAGCACTGGACGGCAGGCCCACTCTGGAGCCAACTGGCTTTCGGGAGGGCACAATGCCAGGTCCGTGTGGGCCTTGCTTGCTGGGCCACTAGCCACTTCTGCACTGCGGGTAGTCAGGTGCACGGCTTCCGCGTTCTCCCCACGCACGGAGAAGCAGGCTGCACACTACAGAATCTGCCAGGCGGCGAGGTCTACGGATGAGCAAGACAGAGGCAAGTTCAAGCCCCACTTGGCCTCTCTACTCCAGTGGCTCTGAAGCTGGCTGCACTGTGAATTGTATCCACTTCCCAGGGGCCTGGGGTCCCAGCACCTGTGATTTCATTGTTTCAGTCTCCTAGAGGAGTCCAAGGCCCTCTGAGGTCCTCAAACCTGAGCAGCCTCAGATCCACCCAAGGCCTTGTGAAGATCAGATTGCTGCCCCCACCACCCAGGTTCTCAATTCACGAGGTCCGGGGCCCAGAATTTGCTCCCAGTGCTGCTGCTGCCCTAGTTGAGAACCATGACTGTGCTGGGCCTGATCTGAATCAAACCACCCGCCCAGAGCCCCCGCCTCCTTGCTCTCCGTGCAATGATGACAACATGGCCGCCCCTCAGTGGCTGCTACTGCGAGGGTGAAGATAAGGTCCACCAGGCGTCTGGCGCAGAGCCCACAAAACTCATGGGGCGCCTGGCACCCTCACAACATGGAAGGACTGCGCTGAGTCATGGCACGATGAGAGCGTCCACACCATCCAGGTGTGACCCTGTGCAGGCCACGTCTCCCCCAACCTAGGATTTCTGCCCCCACATTTTCTGCACCAAGTCCAAGTCTCCGGAGGTTTGCTTTTTTGTTGTTGTTTCTTTGCTTTTTTGATAGAATGATGCTTATCAGAGGAAAAACATCTGTTCCCCTTTCTTTAATCTCTAATTTATCTAATCTCCCTTTGTAAAATAGGTATATTGCCAATGACTGAATTTCTGCCAAGGGAACAAAAATGCTTGTTTCAATTACTTATTCTTCTCATTGACTTCACCCTCTGAGGTACAATCTCACACAACATAAATATAATGAATGGGCTACTTTTTTCTGGCATCTTCATCACTGGCCACTAAGAGAGAGACTTCCAGAAAAGAGAGATGGCATTTTCCGTGTCTCTACCCGAAGCACCAGATGTAATATTTGTCGGAGTAAATTAAATCTTTCGCTTGGGCAGCCCAAGGCACAACCCTGCGGTTGGTGACCATGACGGAAAGCGGCCACCAGAGGGCGCGGCAGAGCAGCATTGCCCGCCCCCTCCAGGGCCGGAGACTCCGGTAGCCCAGGCTGCTGGCCGGGCCTGGGGCGCTCCGGGGGAGCCAGGGGGTTTCTCGCAACCTGTAGGCTCAGAGGTGATGGATTTTCTTTCACGTTTTTGTTGTTATTCATTGTTTAAGTTAGTAAACAAATATGATTTGCTCTCCTGTGTTTATAAAAGTAAGCAAAGGTGACAGCATTTAAAAGGATGGAACCGGATCCAAAAGTAAATGGAATTTGAGAATTGAAGAGCTAAGGGGGCGTTGAGGCCGACTGCAATGACCCCGCATCCACAGACAAAGAAAGGAGGATCGCAGCGCTCACGCTGACCACTGAAGAGCGGGAGCCAGGCCTGACCCAGGCCTGACCCAGGCCAGTGCCTGACTCCCATCCTGGGTTCCCTCAGGGCACACTGTCCAGGCCAGAAGGCTCCCACGCCCGGACATAGCAGCCCAGGTCCCTGTCCGTGTCCTCCAGTCCACTGCATTGAGGGGCTCTGCGGGCCCGTTGAGTAATCTCTGCAGCCAGGTGCTTCTTCCTGAGCTGTGAAAAGAAAGAAAAAGACAATTATTCTATAACCTGTTTGTTCCATGTTTACGCCTTAATTTTTTTATTTCTTATTGTAGTGAAGTATACATAAAATCTACCACTCTAGCCGCTTCGGGGGATGATTCCATGGCGTCAAATCCAGGCCCGTTACCGTGCAACCACCACCTCCATCTCTCTCCCAAACTGTTATCTTCCTAAACCAAACTCCACCAGCAAACTCCGGCTCCCCGTTGCCACCTCGCCAGCTCCTGGCAGCCTCTGCTCCTCTTGGTCTGGTGTGCCTGCGGCAGGAACCTCAGCTAGGAGGAGTCCCAAGGCACTGCCCTTCTGTGCCTGGCATCTGCGTCCACCCTGCTCTCCTCGAGGTGCAGCCGTGGATGCCTACCGTGGGCACTCCATTCCTTTGTGGCTGAGTAATATTCTGGCACTCTCCTTCTTATACTGGATACCCTCTGGGGGTAGACCCTTCTGGAAAGCCACAAGCCAAGGTGGAGAGTGGCTCCGGTCACCTTTCAGTGGAGGATTAAGAGCCCCAGGTTCACCTACCCACATGTGCACCGAGCTGCGGCAGACCTCAGGCTCACATCCAGGTCCTCTGCTCAGTCCTGCGCCCCTGCCAGGCCTCCTCCTGGGATTTTTCCGCAGGCAGGCGGCTGGCTTCCGCCATCAGTCTTCTGCACAGGGACATGGAAAGATGCTCCTTCTCAGGAAGAGCCTCCCACCCACATGGCGAACCCAAGGGCGACCCCAGGCTTCAAACTCAACTAGGAAGAAGCAACTGGCTGCAGAGATCACTCAGTGGCTCCCCCAGAGCCCCTCAATGCAGTGGGTTAACAAAAGTTCAACAATAAATAACGATTCCAGCCCACCCCAGCTGAAGCCTCCAGGACAAGCCACTCAATACTCTGAGGCCCTTTACAAACCCCACTGTGGCCAGGCCTGACTGAGCCACAGGGAAGGACAGAGCCCTCAAGGGCACAGTGGCTGGATGTCCTTATCCAGGTGAAGTTTCCTGGTCCAATAATTGGCAGAATAAAGTCCCCCGTCCATAATGAGCCACATCCTGAGGCAATTCAGGATTACTTTTACACGTGAACTACTTCTCTACCCCTGTTTTACAAACAAAACCCGTGGTAGGTTTTACCGTGTCTCCATGAGGTGACATCATTAGTTATCGGTGTGCTTTGTGCACATTACATCCCTCCATTCCTATTCATGCTCCATGAGGAAATTAAGGTCTGAATATTACATAACTAGCTCAGTGACCAACCCAGCCGGGACTCCAGCTCGGCTCGATGACCTCAGTCAGCTCAGGTTCAACTCTTCCCGCCACCAGCTCCAGCAGGCGGAAGCTGCCCTTGGGGGGGACCACTCCCCCTCCCAGCCAAGGCAGAGGTCACTGGTTCTAATGAGCAGCCCCTGCGCCCCCTCTCTGTGCATCAAGGTAGGGACTTTGAGGAGCACCAAGATGCAGAGGACCCAGTACACACTTGTGTGATATTGGTGACTTGTCCTTACACAGAACTTCTGGGGAGTTTTGAAGAGGGCAAGAAATGGAGGCGTAATCGCAGCATGGCGTTCAGGAGGGAAAGCGTCAAGTGTGTCCACACCAGACCCGAGGTCCACACGTCCGACCTGGCGGATGTGTGCTCCTGTCCCTGCAACTTCAGTCACAAACGGAAGGAGGCTGTCACCAAGAGTCCAGCCCAAAGGTGCATTGGGATCTCGCGGCATGTTTCCTGGAACAGGAGAGCCTGGCTCCACCCGCTCTGCATTCCAAGTACTGACACCTCTTGAACTCAGAGGTGGGCTGGTTTAGGATGAAAATCCGCCCCCGAGGTCCAAGAGCCCTTGGTGGTTTCAGCTGCTCACCGTCCGGGACCGTATTTGTCAATTTTCTGAGAGGAAGATGCTGGAACCTTGTGCTGGGCCTCAGTCTGTGGACGCAGAGTGGGGAAGGGACTCCCTCAGCTCCCACCCACCCCAAGGGGAAGGAGGCACAGGCCCCTGGTGAAGGGGGACACTCTACCAATAGGTGGGAAGGACAGGAGGAATGCTCTTCCTTCTTCTGAATAACCTGAGACAAAAATGGGGAAGAGCTGTCACCTATGAACAATATTTTAATATCTACAGACTCTGGAATCAAGGACATAAAGACACAAAGGTTATTCCCATTAAGAAAGCTACTCTCCAGACAACTTTCAGGTCACATTCCAAAAGAAACGGGAGGGGGGGACTCTGAGGAATTTGTACCCTACTCTAGTCGATATGACACACCACACGGAAGGTTTCAGGGCACCTCAAAATGAACATACTCAAACCAAGCCCATATTAATATCAAGGTTATTTATTTTTACTTCAAAATTTTTCTCCAATCTCATTTTTCCATCTGCAGCCCTGCCCCTTGACCCTGGTGATCATCGTCTCAGCCTGGAATAGGACATGAAACCTGTCCTCACCCCACCTTCTCCTCGGGGACCCACTTCATCCAGTTGCTTTATTTTTCAAAACAGATCTCTTGTGTTGCCACCAGCCCCAGGCACACTCTTCAAGGGCCGCCCGTGGAAAGAACCCTGACCCTGACTATGTCTGCCCCTAACTGCCCACCTCCAGCCCCCACCTTCCCACCCTTCCCTGAGACTCAGCCTGGTGACACTTTGCCCAGTAGAATATGATCAGAGGGGTCCATGCCTGGGGCATCTCAGGGTTTGTTGGTGGCTCATTTGCCTCTGCTGTGAGAAAAACATGACCCAGATTTAGGATGCTGCTTCAGCCAGGTCTTAGGGTGAAGAGGGCCCATGGAGCACACCTGTGACTGGCCCAGAGTCAAGATGTAACATGAGTCAAAAAAACAAAATTTGTAACTGGGAACCACTGAGATTTTTTTTTTTTTTTTTTGCATGCTTGTTACACAGCATTACCTAGTGAATGCAAACTAATACATGGGGCTTCCCATTACTCTTAAAACCTAAAACCCACAGTATGGTTCCAAATCCCTACTTTCATTTCCTTACAGTATCTTTGCATCCTCACAACAGGCCTATGTTCCTTTCCTTATCTCCCCACCTCCACCTCTGTTGTGTTGTTAACGACCACTTTCCTCACCTTGAAAGTTACTTCTTTAAGGAAAGGTTCCCTGACCCTTAGACAACCAACCTCACACCTCCCCTTCATAGACTGTAACAGATTTGTAATTTTATAATTATTTGGTTGTTCAATTGCTATTTCTACCTCACGTAAAGGCTTAAACACAAATACAATTTCTTTGCTTAGTTAACATCCATCCCTCCTCTGGCCACTACACAAACACACTCAAAAGAACGTACTTCCCTGGTTTTCCTAATCATTGAATTCAAGAGCTAGCAAATTGCTGGTTCATAGTAGGTCTGCAATACATTTTTGTGAACAAATAAATGACTCAGAAAGGACCAAACACCATAGCCTAAAAGTATGATATAGATGTAAATACAACAATTATTAAAAACATTTTCTGAGTGGAATACCTGATGAAATGTTTGCATTTCAGACAGTGGCTAGATCATAGTAATCTCAGCGTCACTCTTCTCCACATCCACCCAGCCTGCCTCAGGACAGCAGAGCAATGGTGCCTTCTGTAACTCCAGGCCTCGCAGCGGAGGGGGCAAACCCGCAGCACCAGCACACCTGGCGGGCTCGTTAGCCACTTAGATTGCTGGTCCACACAGAGTTCCTGACTCTGCAGACAAGGTGGACTTCTAACCGATTCCACAGGGTCTCCTGCTCCTAGTCTGCAGACCACCTGTGAGAGCCACGGGCCTTAGATTGGCAAATCACTTTCACTTGGCAGTGGTCAGAAGAGCAGAGAAGCAACTTCTGTGCCCCAAGAGCTCCACACTGGTTACTACACCGAGGTCCAGGTTTGGGGGTCCTCAGTCAACGTCCACCAGGCTCCATAGCCACCTCACTAGCCACTGCCTCTTCAGAAGCCAGGACCTCTTCTTCCCAGACACATCTTCACACATGAGGCATAGACACCCCAGAAAGCACAACCTGTGTTTCCCCTTTTTCTTTTTTTATTCTATTTATTTATTTTTATGTGGTGCTGAGGATCCAATCCAGGCCTCACATGTGCCAAGCAAGCACTGTACCCCTGAGCCGCAACCCCTGCCCTCCCTTTTTTCTTAAGGGTCCACTTTGCTCAGCAGAATTGGGAACAGAGGGGAAATGGAAACCTTACTTCAAAAATGAGGTTTGAGGTTGGGGTGTGGCTCAGTGGTAGCGCACTTGCCTAGCGTGCACAAGGCACTGGGTTCGATTCACAGCACCACATACAAATAAATAAAATAAAGGTCCGTCAACAACTAAAATATATTTTAGATTAAAAAAAATGAGGTTTGAGTATGATGCACCCCAAGGGTGGGCAGGGGGTGGCCCCCAAGCACTAAACTTGGAAGAGTGAGGACCTCCTGCGGCCCCCAGCTCCCTTCCAACACACTGTGGCATGTCCCCGCACCAGATCCAGCTCTGTGCAGCCTCAATAAGGGCACAAAGGAGGCAGGGGCTTCTAACAGGGTCTTGAAGAATTACCATCTCAGCTGGATGTCGGGTCACCAAGATCCCCTTTCTGGGAGTCCTAGGAAGGGAGAGGGATGGTGCCTAAGAGGTTGGGGTTGGCATTGGCAGTGAAGGTGAAAGGAGCAGGTGGTCAGGGGGGCGATGAGAAGATGTGGCTTGGAGGCTGGTCCAGCAAGGAAAGGCTGTTTACGTGCCCGTCCCGGTATGTTAAGTCCTAACCCCAGTGCCTTGGAATGTGACTGTACTGGGAGATGGGTCTTTAAAGAGAAAATCAGTCAAGCTAAGGTCACCTGAGGGATTCTATTCCAACAACTGTTGAACTTCTAGGACACACAGAGGCTGACTGCACACGGCCCCCAGGAGAAATAAGGAGAAGGCGAGACTGGGCGTCCCCAGCTCAGGGGAGAGGCTTCAGGGAAACCACCCTGCCAACTCCTCCATCTCCAACTCTGAGACCTCAGAACGGCAAGAAGTCTCTGTGGAGCCCCCAAATCTATGGAACTTTGTTCTGGCAGCCTGAGCAGACACTGCAGCCAGTACTGAAGTCCTGCAGATGTAAAGCAAGTGGTCGATAGGAGGTGGGGGCAGGGACCCAGGGCGAGACAAGGGGGACAGCCCTGTCCTGTCCTGTAGGTAAAGGACATGGCCTGAGTATAAGCAGAAGGGCACCTCTCAGAGCCACATGTTCTACCGGATCCTCCTGGAGAGAGGTTGGGTAACTGACGCTGGCATCCAAGCCCCAGAGAGCCCCATCTCCTGGGAGGCCTCCACCCTGCCATTCCAGATGGTCAGTGAGCAACAAGGAAGGGGAACCCTGCTGTCGTTGGGGTGATGGATAACACATCAGGCATCAGTCGTGGTGTTATCATAATTATCTGTGGAAACCTCAAACAGAAAAACTTGATTTTATTTTTTTAAAAAAAATTCTTTTCACAAAGACAGCGTGTCAGTGTCAGCTCTAGAACTACAACTTAGAAAAATCTAGGGAATTTTAAACGCAACAGCCTCTTAGTTAAACAAGCCAACACTTAAGCAATAGAAGGCGGGAAGAACTAAAAATAAGTCGCCTCCTTTTAGCACAGAAGGAGCCGGAGGATCTTCTTGCAAGGTCGGCCTCAGC